GGGTCTTCCACTGCTTTCACAAGCATCAGGCTTTCTTGGGGATGTTCCTTTATTCTATAGAGCTTCTGTATGGCTTCTGGTACTCCTTTGTGACTTAGCACCTTGATACTCACAAGGGTTTGCTGAGATGCAGAATCCATGACAAAGTTGCACCTTTGGCCATCCAGCTTTCCTGTCACGTAGACACTATGTGTGCTTGCCATTTTACACTTAGCTGTTGGGACTTTCACACTGGGGGTTAGTAGGCATCCCTCAGCACCAACCACTACTGAAGCTGACCTATTGGTAGTATTCTTCTTACACTGGCTCCTCATATGTCATTGCTCTTCACAGTTGCAACAACCTTTCTGGGTAGCAGCCTTTCCTGCCATGGCATCTTCCCTGTGTTGAAGTTTCCAGCATTGAGCTTTCTTGTGCCCAGGTTTGTTACAGTGCCAGCAAAGTCCCTCAAACCTCTCCAAAAGCTTTTCTGGCCTTGAATCCTGATGACTGTACCAACCTTGGTATCTTTGTGCTGGACTTAACATAGGATTCGAATTCAAGAGCTCTAGCCATTGCATCCTGCATAATAGAGGGGTGTGCTTGCTTCACTTGTATATTCAGTTGTGGACTGTCCAAGGCATCTATAAACTGATCCCTCAGCAACAATTTGAGGACATCGGGTGGTGCAGTTGGGTAGGCTTTGTATGCCTTACTTTCTAAATCCTGTGCCAGCTCTTGCAGGCTCTCCCCTTTACCACGGACTCTCGTCCTAAGCCTAGCCCTGTAGACTTCTGACTGATTTTGGGTTCCGTTCCTGAATTTTAGAGCCACTACCAGTGCTCTATAGTTGTGCCTGTCGTCTGCTGACAAATGTTCAAGTATTTTCAGTGGTTGTCCCTTCAAGCTCGTTGCCAGGTACACTGCCTTCTGCTCCTCTGTCCATCCATTCATTTTTGCCAGGAGCTCAATTTGTGCTCTATATGCTTCCCATCGAATTCCTGTGGCTTCCTTCATACTAGATCACCCCTATTGCTAACACTTATGTCTGGAATGTGACTTCTGACAGGACTGAAGATGTCTGCATAAGGGTTTAGCTGCGGGGTCTAGAAGGGGCTTCCCATTGTTTGAGGCTGATTAGGTCGATGGCTAAAATATCTTCCTTGTGTAAAAGACAGTAAATCGTCCTTTAATGTATTTAGTTCACTTTGAAATTTACTCATCTTTTCCATTTGTGTATGCTGGTTTTCTCTCAACTGTTGGAGACTTTCTTTTTGTTTATTTTCTTTCTCCTCCAACCACTGCTGTAGTCTCTGTTCTTGTTCATTTTCCTTCTCCTCCAACCATTACTGTAGTCTCTTTTCTTTTTCCTCCAACAATAGCTGTAATATCTTTTCTTGTTTCTTTTCTCGTTTTTCTTGTTTCTTTTCCTATTCTTGTATTGCTGCCATCAAATCTACTAAGCTGTTGTTTGATTTGCCACTTCTAGTTTCCATGTTCTTTTTCAATCCCACTTCTGACACCAATTTGTTACGTCTCTGGTCGTTTGTTAATTTTCCGTAAAAATTATTCCAGTGGAACTTCAGTGATATAAGTCCTTTCTTAAATAAAACTAGTTTATTCTTTTTCAATACAACTTTGCAATACACTTAATTTCCACAGTCACTTTAACTTATACACACGCTATAATTCACAATGATTCACGTACTTTACTTACGATCACTACCACTCACTTGACTCGATTATCTGTCTGTATATCTCCCTATCTGCAATTATATCTCCGGTTTATTTGCGGGGCTTATATACAAAAATAGAGGGCGTCTGGCAAACACTAGAGTTGCCAGGAACAGTCATGATCCTTCAAGAAACTCATGACGTGTTACCAGGGTCACGTGACTTCCGCTGTCGTAAAAATACTCATCTGATTTTGCTGTAGGTTTGTGAAACAAAAATATGAATAATAATAATATAATAATAAAATATGCACTCACAATTTCAGTGAAGTACGAAAACCAGTAGAATAAATCACCACTCCCTAGATTAGAGAAATCTACTATTGTAATTGTCTACTGTTAGAAAACTCACTGAAATAGTCATACAGAAAAAGTACAACAGCGAACTCGAGAAATGATGAATCCTCAACATGGCAGTTTCTATAGGTTGCACAAGTTATTTTCCAATTAATGTGCATTAGTAGAACACCGGTTTTTTCAATGATGGAAAGTGAAGGACTTAGAGAAATTCTTCAGGGTGAAAAAAAAAGAAGGCAGTTGAATTAATTTTAAAACTACCCTATGACATACTCAATACTGCATTCATTACTAGTGTCCATGTTTCAGTAAAATGTTCATAGCCGTTTTTTATGTAGCGGCTTCTAAAACTATAATCAATAATAATGCGACTAGAGACACTGTTATAAATGTATACACTGTTTACTTTAATAAAATGAAGCGTTTCCGACTAGTATAACAGTGCTTAAAAGGCTTCTAAGAGTTTATGTTGGTAGCGAAGAATAACTCAGAAACTTTTAGAGGGTGGAAATCTCGCTTTCAAGAATCAACTTTAAAATAGCTCTACAACCTTCGCAGGAATTAGTTTAGTGGTTGTGCATATATTTTGGCACAGTATACCTAGCGTTTTGGTTGTAGGCTTCAGTGCTTTAATAGCTTCGAAGAGAAACTTGGCCAGTAGCGATGAAATGACTGATAAAATCTCTCCCTCTCTTTCAAGAATCAACATAAAAATAGCCTATTTACAATTTAAAAGAATACAACCTTAAAATCTTTATTTGTTGAAAATGTTAATTTTTTTAATGACCTCTCAGGAATATACAGCAAAAAAAAAAAAAAATCGTTAGATTTTGTTAACAAAATCTCAGGGATAAATATACAGTTAATTGATGAATTAGTCTATTTTGACATTGTGTAGCTGTTTACAAATGTTCCAGTTAATGAGGCTCTGGGTTGCTTGGAAAATAGATTGCTGGAAAGTAAAACATTTTCTCTGCTTGAGGTGAACGCAATTTTAAAGCTTACTCGTGAGTGTGTTTCAAACGCATATCTTAAAATTAGAAATAAATTTTTTAAACAGATTAAAGGTTTAGCAATGGGGTCTCCCCTGTCACCTCTTTTATGTGAATTATTTACATTCAATTTGGAAATTAAGATGTTCAACACATCTGAGGTAAAACCCTTAATGTGTTTAAGGTATGTAGATGATACGTTTTTAGTGTGACGAAATGACATTGGAACTTTATTAGAATTTGAAAAACATCTTGATTCAATCAGTTCTATCACCAGATTTACATTAGAGATGGAAAAAGAGGGTCAGCTAATTTGTTTAAATATGACCATCAAACGGGACAATAGTTGACTCTCAACTTCTGTTTATAGAAAGTCATTTGCTGTAGAGGTACCACCACACAATAGACAGTGTCACCCGTGGGCATAAAAACTATCCGCCTTTTCCACATTTGTGTTTAGAACCTTAAAAATATGCAGTTATGATTGTGTTGTAAAAACATAGTTGAGTTTCTTAAAACATGTAGCCATAGATAGAGGAACAGTATGCACCATAAGTAAAGTTGTGAATCACTGTGAATTATAGCGTGTGTTTATAAAAGTAGTTAAGTTAAAGTGACTATGGAAATTCTGTGTATTGCAAAATTGTATCGAGAAAGAATAAACTAGTTTTATTTAAGAAACGACTTGTATTGCTGAAGTTCCTCGGAAAGAATTTATACCGGAAATTAACAAATGAACAGATGTAACAATAGGAATTATTTAATTTCATGGATGACTTGTTATTTTGGGAGATGTAGCAGAGCTTTAAGCATTTAATAAATTTTCAACCAAAGCTTAAATTTTTAGAACAATCTTATTGTTTGTCAAATGAGTTTGTCTATTGAGAACTTCCATGGTGTTTGTAGTGCAGTTGTTTATAGATTTACTGGTGAAACTGTTGAAATTATTGAGATTCACTCCTTATCAAACATAATAACCAACCTAAGAAAAAACGAAAAATACTTTTACTGTTTGTTCTACATCATAAATTTCACATTCCAACTTTGTCTGTTCAATAAAGTGAATTTAACATTTAGTGTATAGCTTTTCCTTTCACGGTCAGGTCTTACTTGCTTCTGTTTTGAAATCCTATTGGATCTCAAGTTATTGTGGTTTGATGACTTAACTGTTGGTTTAAGTTCTTAAGAATATCACAACAGTTTCTTCAAAATTAGTTATCTTTCTATATTATAACCAGTTTTTTGTTTGTGTAGACAATAGAATACATCTTTTCTGCCCATATTTGTATAAAAAAAATGAAATATTATTGTGTATTATCTGATTCATAACTCTCATTTCAAGTATCTCTAATAACTGTTCACAGTTACTAGGATGATACTTGTCAAGATGAGAAAGAAGAAATTTTAAAGTTTCTAGATTTATTAAAGCATGGAACATTTTATAACAAGTGACAATTATTAACCTACTTACAATTACATCTTTGTTTACAACTTATGGTAGTTAGTTCGAAATATTTTTCTATATTAGAATAAAGATGTTTTGACCACCAGTGTGGTCATTTTAAAGTACAACCACAGAATTTTGTTGTAATATGTTACATGTAGAAGTCAGCCTAAAATACAAAAGATAAAGTCTTTGTTTGCCACATATGTACTTTTTGTATTCCATATTTGGCTTTACAATAAAAATGTTTCTTGTTTTTTGCCAAGTCTTATTCATTCCTGGTCAATGTTGACTTATTTCACAGATACTGTATACATTCTTTGAAACAAGCAGTAAAAAATGCAAAAAATCATGAATCAATTAGCCTTTATACTAAGTACTATCGATTCCTGAAAAAAAAAATGTATTTTGCAATTCAAAATGACTTCTCACCAACATTATCCTCTTTGGCTTTACTTATTAAATATGTTTTGTGATGTTTATTTTTAGCTGAGTTAAAAAACATCACACTTTTTTAATATTCTGTAAAAGTACTCAGTTTCACTAACAAAAAGTAAAAAAAAAGATTTTTAAATATTTATTTTATCTATCAAAAACAATACACTAATCTTTTCTTTTGTAAAAAGCTACATTAGTTATCTACATGAACAAATTCTTTGCAACACCAGGTCTATGGCCATAACGGTTTATCACTGGAGAATCCTTCTTTGCCAAAAAGCTTGCTCTTTCCTCTGAAATCAGTCATCCTTAAGGTTTCCAGGTGGTCCAGATAAAAACCAAACATCAGCCCTCCGATGGGAAGCAAGACTGGCCACCATTTCTTCCCTATTCTTTGAAAAGCCATGTTCCTTGGTTTTCTTCAACTTTAAATTAAAAATTAAAAGTTAACAAAATCCTATTTATGAATGAAATATAAAACATTTGAAAAACAAATAGAGTTTCAGAATAGTCAAATTCTTAAAAGACCATATGATCAAGTTTTATCTCCCTCTTTAAAAACAAAATACATAGATCTTCTGAACACAGACTTCTGCCTGTCAAGCATAATTAATTTCTGACAAAATTACTGAGTTTTATTATCATCAATTAATTTAGTAATTGATATATATTTATATACAATTGAATAAGTAAGTCATGCATGCAAAGATTGTGCATTAGATTCACGCATACACATAAAGGTAACTAACTCGTTTCACTTTGTATATTGTACATTTCAAATACATAAGAACAAAAATACTATTTTTTATGTATATTTATATATATATATATATATTACATCTAAAACATGGCCAAATGAATAAATTTTCTTGTGTATGCATGTTTTTCAATTTTGACCAAATTTATATTATGCAAAGTGAAAAAACATTTGCCTCTATTCACATTTTATAAATTAGCAATGTGACATTAAGATTTCCTGTCACAATTGTACTTTTTGATATTATATCTACTTAATCCATGATGTAATCAAATATAAAATAAGACTGTATTTGTTACGACTTAGTTTTTTTTCTTAAGCAAGTAATATGACCTAAAATCTTTTTTATTATGTACTGATCAAAGTTTTATTCAAGGCATATACTATATGAACATGCACTATTTCATCCCGTGGAAAAAGTTTAAAATGTATTAAGCATAAGAAATAAGAAAATTATAGGAATAATCATAGCAAATATTTAGAATTGAAACATTTATCATAATCCTAAGTTAAACTATTTGTTACTACTGCAGCAGTCATGTGATGCTGGTAATACGTCATGAGTTTCTAGAAGGATCATGACTTTTCTTGGCAACTCGTTTTTTCCAGGCGTCCTCTATTTTAGTATTGTTACGCCTCCATTCGTTAGTTAATTTTCCGTAAAAATTCTTCCCGAAAAAACTTTAACGACACAAGTCCTTTTTTAAATAAAACTGGTTTATTCTTTCTGAATACAACTTTGCGATACACTTAATTTCAATAGTCGCTCTATAACAAACGCTATAATTCACAATGAACCTCTCACGTGCTCAACAATATT